CTAAGGTGAGGGCACCTGGGCTCTGGGAGGTGATGTGTTCCTATGGTCACCCCATTCTAAAATGAGGGCAGGTGGACTCTGAGAAGTGACATGATGGGCTAGTGTGGGATGTTTTTACCTGGCCATACAGGGTCACAAAGGTATCAGTCTCCATATTTTCCAGCAAATCTTCAAGCACAACGCTGTTCTGTTGTTCTTCTCTCAAACTAGAGTAAAATTAAAATTTATGTGAGTCCACTTTTGTTACAAAGTGAGGCTATGAGAAGAATCATCTAGTCATTTCAGTAACAAAGAATTACACATCTAACCCACATGGTCTTTGTGTCTGATACCCACAGGAACAGGCTTCATTTTTCTTGCAAGAACCAGATGCTGTTGAGTCAATTCCAACTCATGGCGACCTCGTATGTCAGAGTAGAACTGTGCTCCATAGGGTTTTCAATGGCTGATTTTTGGGAAACTGTCACCTTGACAGCTAGGTTTTTACTTTTATTTATTTATTTATTTGTTTTTATGGTTATGTTAGATGTTACCATTGGGGGAAACTGCATGTACATAGAATCTCATTGTACTATTTCTGCAACTTCTTGTGAGCCTACAATTATTTCAAAATAAAAAGTTAAAAGCATATTGTGTTTAGTAAAACCTCAATAATATTTAAAGGAAAAAGTAAAGCATAGAAAATGTCAGGGTAAAGAAGTGTGCTAGATAAGTCAGCAGGTCTGGCCTGAGTGTGGGGACCACACCTTAGACAGGTGCATGGAAGCCTACGTAGATGATTTCTCATTGGCTGTGAGAGGCCCAGGTGTGCCCAGGCCTGCCGTGGACTGACAGAACACAGAGCCACCAGGGCCCTTGGCTTACCTCTGCCGGTGGTGCTCCAGTATCTTCCGGCCCTTGCTCAGAGCTTGCCGCAGGATGGCAGGGACCTGCCCTTCAGAATTCATCTCCGCAGGCTCATTCAGGAGCCCAGGTCCCTCAGTCTCCCACTGCTGCTGGCTTGCCAGGGCCCGCTGCTGCTGAGCTGCCTCCTGGTGTACCAGCTGTTCCTCCAGCTTCCTCTCCAGTTCCTGCAGCTCCTGAAGGCAGAGGGGGCAGGTGGTGAGGCCTGCTGCAAAAGGCAGGTGGGCTGCAGGACAAAACCCAACCTTCTGGGCATGGTGTTGGGAGCTTGGCAGGAGTGGGTCTTGCCCTCCTTCCCCTTCCATCCGTGCCAAATCACACAATGTGACTGCAGTATCTCAGGCCTCCATGCCTTTGCACATGCTGTCCACTCAATCTACAACATCTTTTCCGGTTTGCCTGTGATGGAGAGAATAATGTCCCCAAAAAAACATTTCAAGTAGTAACCCTGTACCTGTGAATGTGACCCTTTTTGGAAACAGTCTTTGAAGATGTCATCAGTTGGGTGTTAACCTGACTATACTAGGCCCAAGATGGAGTCACTTATGCTACGTCGGCAAACTGAAACCTAGCTAGTTTCTATTACCTGTAAATGCCTGATGGTCCCAGGAGTCAAAACCCAAGTCAAATAACTGACTCTCCCAGAAACAGAAACCTAAACTAGTCAGTCAGGACTTGCCTGCCCAGTGTAACCTAGTTTAGAATTTCCCCTTGATCCCAAATAAGGAGAAACAAAAGCCCACCAGCCAATGTGAAATTTGCCTCGCGTAGCTACCTTGTCCGTCTGTCTGTGACTACCCTTCTGCTTTGTACCACTCTTCAGAGCTCTTCTCTGATTTCTAAGCAGACGTTCCCAGATTCATGAACTGAAAAATAAAGCTCATGAGTTCATATAAATGTTTAATATTGTAGAAATTTTTTAGATTAACTTGAGGTCGTACTGCAGTAGGGTGGGTACTAATCCTTTATGATTGGTGTCCTGATAAAAGAGGAAGAGAGACTCAGAGACTGGGAGACAGAGGAAGGATGCCAAGTGACGCTGCAGCTGCAAGCCAAGGACTGCTGGGAGCCACCAGAAGCTGGGAGAGAAGCACGGAGCAGACCCTCACTCAGAGCCTCAGAAGGAATCAACATGGCTGACACCCTGGTTTGTACTTTCAGCCTCCTGAACTCTGAGAAAATAAATTCCTGTTCTTTAAAGCCACCGACTTGTGGCTTTTTTTTTTTTTTTTGGTCACAGCAGCACTAGGTAACTAAGACAATGGTCCTTGATCCTCCTAAAATGGTCTTTCTGCAGAGAGACCACAGCTTGCATCAAATTCTCAAACAGGCCTCAAAGCTCTGGGGCCCAGACAGACTACTCAAGACCCAAGACAGAAGATTGGAGAAGAAGCTGAGGTCACAGCACAGATAGCCTTATCTCCAAGTCAGGGTAGTCGGCTTTATCCCAGGACCGTGGGGGACTTCGGATACTTCTGAGCAAAAGTCTCTACCATGGTGAGACGTATCATTATGAAGACCCCTCTCACTGCAGCATCCGAAACAGAAACACAACTGAACACAGACGTCTCAAAAGCATAAAGGGACATTTGTCTAAACTGAGTCTTCAGCAGTGTGTTCTGTCAGGCTGTCAGCCACACGGAAGCCTGAGTCAGGGACAGACGTCTCCTGCTATGCCAGCCCCAGCCACTCTTGTCAGCATCACCAGAGAACGTGGTGCACACAAAAGTGCCGTCAAACAGCCAGCACTTCATACTTTTGTTTTTCAAGCAGCTGATGAGCCCTGGCTAGGAATTGAAAATCAAGTGGAAATAACTCCTGTGGTTTACAATCTGCTGCTACTAACGGCAAGTCTTCCTGGGAGTTCAGTTCTGTCGCCAAAACCCTGCAACACCCCATACGTCTGTCTGCCACTTAGCACGATCAGAATTCAAAACTCATTTCTGGAACTGTCTTTTTTAATGCCCATATTCCTCACTCGATTTTAAATGCTGAGGGCAGGACTCAGACACTGTAGCTGCCTTCTTTACCTTTCTCCCCAGCAGTGAGCCAGGGCCTGGCGCATAGCAAAAGTAACAATCGTGGTCGCAATAATAATAACAACAACAACAGTAATAACAACAGCAGCTAGTGTTCCCCGAATGCCTTCGATGTGCCACATTCGAGTCGAAGATTTATTATCAGCTGCTTCCAATTCAGGGCATACTAACTCTTCTACTCTAAACAAGCTAGAGATAGGAAGCATTGATGTTCCTCAAAAAAGCTTTAGAATAAAATTGAGAATGTAACCAATTACTAATAGAAATCAGGTGGTCTCAAGTAAAAGGGGTCATTGAGTGTTTTAGGGCTGGACTGAGGGTGCATCCTAGGGCACTTACAATGAGTGCGTGAGTGATAACCTGAGAATCAGAAGCTTCATGGTCCCGAACTTTTTGTTATGTGCCGTCAAGTCGGTTCCGACTCATACTGATCCTATGTACAATAGAAGGAAACACTGCCCAGTCCTGCACCATCCTCACAATCATTGTTATGCTTGAGCCCACTGTTGCAGCCACTGTGTCAGTCCATCTCATTGAGGGTCTTCCTCTTTTTCGCTGACCCTCTACTTTAACAAGCATGGTGTCCTTCGCCAGGGACTGATGCCTCCTGATAACATGTCCAAAGTATGTGAGACGTAGTCTTGCCATCCTTGCTTCTAAGGATCATTCTGGCTATACTTCTTCCAAGACAGATTTGTTAGTTCTTTGGTAGTCCATGGTATATTCAATTATTCTTCACCAACACCATAATTCAAAGGTGTCAATTCTTCTTCTGTCTTCCTTATTCATTGTCCAGCTTTCCCATGCATCTGAAGCAATTGAAAACACCATGGCTTGAGTCAGGCATACCTTACTCTTCAAGGGACAGCCTTGCTTTTTAACACTTTAAAGAGGTCTTTTGCAGCAGATTTGCCCAATGCATGTCCAGGTGGGATATACTCAATGTCATACTTTGGCTCTGTTGGACTTGTTCTAATTTTCTTCAGTTTCAGCTCGAACTTGCATAGGAGCGATTGATGATCTGTTCCGCAGTCGGCCCCTGGTCGTCTTCTGACTGATGATACTGAGCTTTTCCATCATCTCTTTCCACAGATGTAGTCCATTTTATTCCTTGTATTCCATCTGGTGAGGTCCACGTGTAGAGTCGCCGTTTATGTTGTTGAAAAATGTATTTGCAATGAAGACATCGTTGGTCTTGCAAAATTCTATCATGCGATCTCTATCATGATCCTCTAACTCACTAAGTGACCTTGGACCTGTCCCCTCCCCTCTAAAGACCTCACTTCCGCCATTTGCATTGCAAGAGTTCCCCAGTCAGCTCCAACTCACGGTGACCTTATGTATAACAGAACGAAACATTGCCAGGTCCTGCACCATCTCCATGATCTTTGATAAGATTGAGTCCATTGTTGTGACTGCTGTGCCAATCCATCTCATGGAGGGTTTTCCTTGTTTTGGCTGACTATCTACCAATGATGATGTCCTTTTCTAGCAACTGGTCTTCCTGATGACCTGTCCAAAGTAAGCAAGACAAAGTTTCTCCTTCCTCATTTCTAAGGAGCATTCTGGTTTTATTTCTTCTAAGACTGATTTGTACGTTATTTTGGCAGACCACGGTATATTCAATACTCTTCATCAACACTACAGTTCTAATGCATCTATTCTTCTTCTGTCTTCCTTTTTCATTGTCCAGCTTTCACACGCATTTGAGGCGACTGAAAAGACTATGGTTTGGATCAGGCGCACCTTAGTCATCAAAGTGACACCTTTGCTTTTTAACACTTTGAAGAAGCTTTTACAGCAGATTTACTCAATGCCGTATGTCGTTTGATTTCTTGACTCCTGCTTCCATGGGCATTAATTGTGGATCCAGGTATAATGAAATTCTTGACAACTACAATAATTTTCTCCATTTATGATGACCTACATGCTATAGGGTCGCTGTGAGTCAGAACTGACTCAATGGCAAAGGATTTGGTTTTGGTTTTTTGACATGCTAATCACCTCTAAGTGAGATACTTGCAGTGGGTTTTGGGAAAGTACCCCTCAGAGGTTTCCTTCTATTCTTAGTTTGCAAAAAGCCTGATTGTGAATAGGTGTTGAATTCAATCAAATGCTCATTCTGTATATACTGAAATGGTCATATGAGTTTTCTTTTTTCCTTTAATCTGTTAACCTGGTGAATTTTGTAAATGGCTGTTCTAATGTTAAACCCACCTTATATTCCTAGGATAAACACATCCTGGTCATGATATATTAAATTTTTTTATATTTGACTGGATTATGTTCATTAATATTTTGTTTATGAATTTTACTTCTATGTTCTGAGTAAGACTGAACTGTAATTGTTCTTGGCTCATACTATTCATATCTGAGTTTCATAAAATGATTTGATGAATATTCTTATTTATCTATCTCAGGAATAATCTGAATATGTTTGGAAAATTTTGCCACTTGAAAATTGGTGGAATTCACCTATAGAACTATAAAAAACAAACCAAATCAAACCCGTTGCTGTCGAGTCAATTCTGACTCATAGCGACCCTATAGGACAAAGTAGAACTGCCGCATAAGGTTTCCAAGGAACAGTTGGAGGATTCAAACTGCCGAGCTTTTGGTTAGCAGCCAATTTCTTAACCACTGCGCCACCGTTGGGCACTTTTTATTAAAAGACTTTCAACTACTGCGCCAATTTCTTTCATGGTAATAGGACTATACAGCCTTTTTTTTCTACTCAAGTCAGTTTCGACGATTTATGTTTTTCAAGGAACTTCTCCATTTCACTGTAGTTTTCAAATTTATCTACATAAGTTATCCACAACATTTTCTTGTTTTTGAAAATTCTACTTAATTTATAATTATTTGCTTTTTACGTTTCTGGTATTATTTACTTGTCCCTTAGTTCTCTTTTTAATGATCAATCTTGCCAGAGATTTGTGCATGTTATTAAACTTTGTTTAAAAAAGTCAACTTTTACTTATTCTCTCTATGGTAGTTCTACTTTAAAGTTTATTTATTTATGCTCTTATCTTCCTTCTTTCTAAGGTTCATTTTGGTTTTTTTCCTCCTAACTTTTCAGATGAGCTTAACTGTGAGCCTTTCTTCATTCTAAGTGTATAAGGCATAAATTTCCATCT